CCCGATATACCGACCATTACAAGGCACAGCCAGAACCGGAAGCAGCAAAAACCGACCTATATAAATTTGAACCGGCACAAGACACCAGTGCTTCACAGGAGGCTCCACAGCACTGAGGATGTCTCTTAGTAAGGGGACGAAACGTCTGCTATCAAACCTCCCAGCTTAACAAGCACCCCAACATCTACAACCAACACTCGAGCTACAAAGCTCCAGTCAAACCCTGAACTACATATATTATTGACATTGTGGTAGTTAGATTATAGTTCCAGGATAATGACATTGTTCTTAACATTGAAATATTAATCATCAATAATACTTGAAGAATCTCAGCCATTAAGTTCCCATTCACAGCCCCTCAAATGTAGATGAATGTGTTAACATCTTAGCTCAGATATTGGAGTATTCTGTGTATGCCCAGTTATCTTAAATAATTCTGTGACATTTTCTATTTTATCATGGAATGTGGGTGTCACCTGGTTAATCCAGCATTTCTTGCCAATCTGTAATAGACCTTGAGTAAGTGATGGTCATCTACATTCTTGAACTGCTGCAGACTTCGTGGTTTAACATTTTGTCATTCATGGGATGTAGGCTTAGCCAGCATTTAATATCCATCACTAATTGCCCTGGAGAAGATGATGATGAACTGACAACTTCAATCACTACAGGCCATGCGGTGTATGTAATAGCGCTGTTGGGGAAAGGTGTTCCAGGATTCTGACTCAGTCACAGTGAAGGAAATGTGATATATTTCCAGTCAGGATAGTGCGTAGCTTGGAAATAAATATGCTGGTGGTGGAGTTCCTATGTATCTGATGCTCTCATCCTTCTAGATAGTACAGGGCATGGGTTTGGAAGAAGGCTTGACTAGTTATAATATTATTTTTTGACCAAAATGAAAACTGACACAAAGTTAAAATTTGAGATGTTAGGTTTCATTCACAGAATCACTGAATTGCAATGGTCCAGAAGGAGGCCTTTCAGGTTTGTACCAGTTCTCCGGATAAGCATCATGTCCTAGCACAGTTCTCCTTAATTTTCCCACAACCCTGCATATTATTTCTATTTAATTAATCACCCAATGTCCTCTTGGATGATTCCATTAAATCTGACTCCGCCATGTTTCCAGGCAATGTATTCCAGACCTAAACCACATTTTGTGTGAAAAAGATTATTCTGATGTTACATTTGCATCTTAAGCAAAACACTTTAAATCTGTGCCCTCTCTTTCTTGATTCTCTTACAAGTGGGAAAAGCTTTTCTTTGCCTATTCTGTTCAGAACCCCTCATGACTTTGAAAAGTTCGCTCAAATTTCCTCTTAGCCTTCTTCTCTCCAAGGAAACAGACCCATCTTCTCCAGACTATTTTCGTAACTGAAGTTCCTCATCCCTGGAACCCATGTCAAAACTATTACTTCACTTCCTGTATTGTGTTCACATCCTTCATAATGTGTAGCACCCTGAACTGTACACAATACTCCAGCTGAGATGTAACTAGTGTTTTTTGCAAAGTCAGCATCAACTTCTTGATTTTGGACTTTGTGTCCTATTAATAAAACCTAGGATAATATATGCTTCATTAACTACTCTCTCCACCTGTTCTACCACCTTTAATGACTTATGCATATTTACACCAGGCATCCCTGCTCCTGCAAACCATAAGTGTAGTGCCCTTTATAATACATGTATCTACTCCACGTTTTTTCTCCCAAAATGTATCCCTTCACATTTTGCCACATTGGACTTCGTCTGCCATTTAGTTGCCAACTCCAATAACTTGCCAACTGAAGGTCTAAAGTCCTCCTCACAGTTTAGAAGCCTGTGAATCTTTCACATCCCCATGTAACTGCTAATGCTTCCCTTTGTGTGGCTGCGAACGTCTGTTCAGTCTGCATCAAAGATCTTGACCTAAATTAGACCAGTTTCTGCATTCCATCAGTTTTCATTTTAATAGGGACTGTTCCTAATTCTGTGGATAATGCACTAATAGTTGTTGTAGTCAATACATCTGGATTAGAATGTACTAAAATATCAGTGAAAAATAGCTTCTTTCTAATTATTTCACAGGCTGCAGCTGTTCCTGACTCCAGTTTTTCAAAAGTTCTCTTATGGGTCAAATCAGACTAAATTGTAGATAAACTTTTCCATTTGATTGATCATCCGTAAGAAGCACTCTATGTCATTTGTACACTTCAGTACTGGAAATTCACTGATAGCTCTTGTCTTCCATGAATCCACTGTAATGCTTTGTTCTTAGATAGAGTGTCCTAGAACTGTAACCCTTGGCATTTTCTTTTTAGTGTGGTGACTGTGTCCTGTAGTGTTTCTAGTACATCCTAGGCCCTCTGGTCGTGCTCCTTCTTGATTTCACCATGCACCAAGATGTTGTCTATATGCCAACAAGTTCCCTGTTTCCCTTCTGTATTCTAGATACTGCATTTTGGAAAATCTCTGGCACAAAGGAGATCCCAAACTGTAGACAGTTGAAGCAATTTTGACCAAACAGTATAATGATTGCAGGGACAAAAAAAACTGCAGATGCAGTTCTGAAGAAGGGTAATACCTGAAACGTTGACTTCTCCTCCTCCACATGCTGCCTGGCTTGCTGTGTTTTTCCAGCCTCCTGTTTGTATGATGATTGTAGTCTTGGTCCAGGGCTATCTGTCAGAACCTACTGTTAGCATCCAGTTTTGTGAAAATTTTGCTTGTCAACATTAATATGAGGTACTGGTTTTGGTAGGGCAAATCAGGATATACTTAATGTTTTCGAACAAAGAGACTTTGGAGTGCAAGTTCACAGTTCCTTGAAAATGGAGTCCCAGGTAGACAGGATAGTGAAGAAGGTGTTTGGTACACATACCTTTATTGACCAGTGCATTGAGTATGGAGATGGGAGGTCATTTGTACAGGACATTGGTTAGGCCACTTTTGGCACACTGGGTTCAATTCTGGTCTCCCTGCTGTAGGAAAGATGTTGTGAAAGTTGAGAGGGTGCAGAAAAGATTTACAAGGCCGTTGCCTTGGTTGGTGGATTTGAGCTGGAGGCAGAGGCTGAATAGGCTGGGGCTATCTCCCCTGGAGCATCGGAGGCTAAGGGATGGCTTTATAGAAGTTTATAAAATCATGAGTGGCATGGATAGGGTGAATAGCCAAAGTCTTCTCCCCAGGGTAGGGAAGCCCAAAACTAGAGAGCACAGGCTTAAGATGAGAGGGGAATGAACTGCAAGAGGAAGTAGTGGAGGCTGGAGCAATTACAACACTTACAAGGCATCTGGATGGGTATATCAATAGGAAGGGGTTAGAGGGATATGGGCCCAATGCTGGCAAAGGAGACTAGATTAATTTGGGATATCTAGTTGGCGTGGACGAGTTGGACCGAAGGGTCTGTTTTCATGCTGTACATCTCTATGCCTCTATGCCAAGCTGTCGTCAACAGGTGAAATAGGATGGATTTGCCTTGTTACTCGCATTTTTAACTGAGTAAGATTCCTCACAACATCTTAGTTCTCCGTTTGTCTTTGGAATCCCTGAGCACAATTGTGTCAGTTTTGTCCCAGGTAATATGACTTTGCTTTCAGTCATGCTATCAAACTGAATTTTTACTTTGCCCATCAAAGGATAAGAAAAGGTATGTGCAAACAGATGGGCTAAGTATCTTCTTACAATGTTATGTGGCATGCCTGCTTTGATTTGTCTGCACCATTAAATAACTTTGGAAATTCTTGCTGAAGTTCTCTCCCATCTTTCTACAGAAGTAATGATTCTATACCCACTAAGATGCCTGGACTTGTCAAGTTTACTAAGACACTTGAGCATTTCTGCTCAACAATGCGATATTATGATTCCTCAGTGTACGTGATGCTTCATTAACATTTCATCCTCTGTGACTAAGTTTTGCCCACATGCTTCAAGATGTGTATCTCCTGGACCATGGAGTTTTACATTAGCTGATCTGGCTCTTTTATACTTCAACCATGGCAAGCTGTCTTCCAAGCATGATTCAGCTGCTATTGAGTCAAGTTTAATTCTGTTTCAAAGCTTTTTAATACTATGATCCCAGCTGATGGTAGCACTGAACCAAATATTGGCTTTCTAGCCCACACATAAGATTGCCACTCCAGCCTGAAAGTGTGGCATTTATGTTCCCCAATGATGTGTCTAATGGTGCGCTTGATCTGATGTGAGTGAATTAGCACAAATATGATATCGTGCCCTTTAACCTCATTCCAATTCATAATGTATTTATGTGTGTGGATCTAGTGTGGCACCAGAGCTGTTTTAAACTAGTTTAGTTTAAATTCATGCATAATTCTGACATCTAGGGAATGTTCATTATATCTGAAGAATGTAACAGAGTATTATACTTCAGAGCTTTTATTGTTTTCTCAGAGGAGATGCTAGAATGAGAATGCTTCAAGCTTTTATGATGCTGGCTTTGAATTCAATCACTGTGAGTAATAAATTTGTGTGTCTGTTAGTTGAAAAACTATGACACGTAGAAAGAGAATGTGGGTGATTACAACAGCTGTAGATTTAATGTTTTGTTCCAGTTGATGGCCAATGATCAGGAAAGCAGCCATATGGTTTTCACAAACTTGTTAAAACACATTGGGTCATAATCACATCTGCCATTAGTTAGACTTAGATACTGAGTGACAAGTTGCTGAAAATGTGTTTTGATAACATCAATAGTGAGGGACATAGAGCACTTGGGACCTGAATGCACAGGTCAAGCAACTGCATATCTCCTTAACAAGCAAACTGAAGAATTGTGACATTGTTTGGGCTAAGAGGAATTATAAAAGAGAGTATGTTAAATCAAGTTCAGAAAGAGAAATAATGGGACTCAAAGAAAAATTAGATTGAGAGAAATCGAAGAGAAAAACATACGTTGTTTAATATGACAAATTTGACTTTTTAGAATCTCCAACAATAATTAAAACTTGTAAAAATGAGACTCTGCAATTTTAATAATTTTAAATGCATGACTGGCTGAAAATAACATGTTAAAATGATAATCAGAATTAAATGGAAAAGATATAATTGCTGTGGCAAGCTTGGTTTAGACGTACCATGCAAGGTTTCCATGTAATATCATACATTATTCAAAACATTTCCAAAATAAAGCAGACAGTAAGATGCTGTTTCCAAAAAGGCAATGGCAGGAACTATATTGAATTCTTATATTTCATGATATATTTCATCAGGTGATGAAGCAGCATACAGCAAGACCTACACAATCCTGTCTTCTAAGGCTATCCCTCAAGATTAAGGATGAATTTCTTTCTCTCCAAGTTATGGGTCCTGGGGTGATGAAACAGTCCAATGTTGGATCCACCCACACTGGTGCTTGAAGAAGCAGGTCGCTGTGATGCCCAGGTTTTTGTACACTTCTTCCACTGTTTGCATTTGGCCTCCACTAGGGTCTGTCTCAGGTGCTGAATGATTGGCACCTTTGTGAATGCTTCTTCTCCAGTTTGGGCAACTTGGACAACAGAATCTCACAAGTCAGTGGGCATCTTGCATGTTTTTCAGCGAGGCTTTCAGGATATCCTCAAAACATTTCAGCTCCCATCCTGGTAACCACTTACTTGACAGAGCTCACAAATAGTGGGCTTATTTTGGGAGTCTCATGTCAGACATCTGGATGATGTGGTCTGCCAGATTCTCAAGTTACTGGAGATGATGTAAACTCTGCTGTATCAGGTAAAACACCCTGATGAAAATCAACTCTCACATTAGCTGCAGTGGCTGTCTATAAAATAGTCTCTAGTATTTTGGTGATAGATATGTGGAAAACTGATTGAAGACCAAGCAGACAGAGAATTCAGACAATGGCAGAAGTTCTGAACCTTTAGCAGCATCAGTTTCTGTGAATACTAACAACTGTAGAATCTGTAGGAAGGGCATTAACCATGAAAAAAACACAACTGATTTTCTTTTGATTAGAATTAATTCAGGACAAAATAAATTTCTAATATTGCTTTACTTCAAAAGAAAAATAAAATGCTGCAGTGCATTGAGTTGCAGCACAAAGCCAATGCAATGCAATACAGAAGATAGAACCAAGGGAACTCACTTTCTGGTATTTGAGAGAGAGTACCAGTGTATCAGTATACTCTGAAGGAGAATCCAGAATCCACTTTTAAAGTCACGTTGTCTTGAAGTTAGGAGACACTGCTTAAGGTGATAAAGCCTGATGCTTTTAACCTGGAATCATGGATAATAGAAACTTAATTGTAGGTTGGCCTGTTCAAACAATATGTAGAGGTGCATTCAATGTTCAAATTGAATTAAATGCATGGTGATCCTGAGAAAAGAGCTCTAAAAATCTTGCTTTTGATTGCCAAAGATGGGCCTCCCACAACTGAATGTAGGTGAATCTGTGTATTAGCTGGTGATAAATCACGAAGGTTAAAAATTTACATTTTGCATTCCTCACATGCATTCATATCAAGTTCAGCAGAGGAGAAAGCCTCCACTTCCACACTATGTTCCAATTGCCCCTTTAATGAAAGTAACAACAGAATTATCCATAGCAGACAGGGAAGGTTTGCTTAATGACTTAGGAATAGAATGAGCATGAACAATATTGACATAATGCTTTCTTCAGTTTACACTATATCCCAGAGTAGTTGGTGTCTGACAATGAGCTCAGCATATCGAATGTCATTTCAAGATATGTTTACAAAGTGCAAAGTGACCCCTATCACATTGTCACCTCACTCTCCACACAGTCTGGCAGAATGTATAGCAAGTACAGCAAAACTTTGTTTTAACTGGCACCTTATCAATTGACACTTTTGGTAAACTGATCAAAATTCTATCCTTACATGCCACAATCTACCGCAGTATCCAAGTATTTATGCCATAAATAACAGAAGTGATGTGTATACCCCCTGAATTGTGTTTCTATTACCTACTGTGGGATTTCACATTGATTTTAGGAGATGTGTTGATGTTTTTACACAGATTTCTTTGAGGGATGTTGATGTCTTGGAGCTTCACTGGGTCAGGTTTTACTGCAGTTATGCATATCTCTTGATTATTGGGAATATTTGATCAACCTGCACACCTGTGGTCCCATAGGTACCAGTTAATAAAAAAATTGCTGCCCTATCAAATCAATAACATTAATAATTAATAACTTCACACTGCATTTTCATGCAACACCACTGGAGAAAGGATTAACATCCCCAGCACAATTTGTATTCAGATAGGACATGTGAACAAACCTACCCAGCAACAAATTGTCTCACCTTTCCAAGACACAGGTCATTCTTCTTCTAAGACAGTGGAGTGCGAAGGAGATACACAACCAGCAGGTGGAAAGAGAAATACCAAAACTCTGCACAGATCAAAAAAAAGAGTTAGAAATACAAATACTTGAATACTACCAAAAGTTTCTAAAATATGCAGCCAGCCCAAATCATATGAAGTCATTATTGATCATGATGTTACATTGCAAAGGAACAGTATCTAGCTCAGACCAGTGTCCGGCATACCAATGATGCATGAAGATAGAGAGGAAGCACACTCCAGTGATGTTGAGTGATAGCAACCAGCAGCAAGACAACCATGTTTTCAAACACATGCAACAGACAACATGCTGTACCCCTCCAAATGGGTATATAATCATCAGATCAGGGTGAGCTGCTAAACCTCCAAAGCATTACATTGGAGCTTGAGATGTTAGTCTTGTACATTTTGCTTTGCCTATTTGTATAATTGTCAAATCGACAACATATGCCTATGTACAAAGATGTAAGTCTGATTGGCATAAGATTTCATCTTTGGAAATAGGGTGATTTTGCATTGTCTCATGTTCAGAATATCAACGTGCCTGTAAGAGACAAAGAGACATAGCATATGACTCGAGGGTATAGAGCTCTCAGACTCTCCCTTAATTCAGACCATTTGAAGTATGACACTCTACTGGAAGCATTTTCCTCTGTTGTAAAGTAATAGCTTAATATTAGGCCAGACACTCAGATGCCTGAGGAAAATAATGTTAATAGTTTATAATTAATTATATCAAAAATCTGTTAGATTCTTTAATACTATGAATATTCACCCCAGTCGTCTTTTTATTATGGGAGATAATATAAGCATTGCTGCATCAGATATAACACCCTGTTGGAGGCAAACTCACACCAAGTTCAAATAATCAAAAGAATTGAAGACCAATATTTAAAATTTGACACAGTATGAGTCGTCTCAAAATAAGATACAGCAAAGTACTGAATAGTTGCACAGAGGGAAATGTCTGAGCAATGAAAGCTGGCGGAGAGCACTACAGATCAATTCAGATTTATATCTGTAAAGGACCGTAATCTGCTGTCAAGATATTAGTGTGGAAAATGGAGCTCACTGCAGCTCGTGTGCAGATAATACAAATTCAGCCACCAGGACTTTTAGCGACCTCCATTCAATGGGTTAGATTTATTAATGATGTTGAGCTTTGATGGGCACTTGAGCCCTAATGTTTGAAATTAACCCTGTCCACATTATCAGTGTGAGTGCCAAAATTGCCCTTCTGAGAAGTGACTTTCCAGTTGACCACTCTACCCTCACCAGGTAGTCTCCTGCTACTGTCAATCCAAGAGAGCTCACAACTCCACAGGCAGAGGTGGATATTGGCGAACCAGGCAAGGAGAGGTTTCAACTGCCTGCATTGTTTGTTGATTTCAAAGAAGCCTGAAGAAAATAGGGGCATTGGAATGGAAGGTAAACTCCTCCTACAGACTGGGCTGGCAACCTTTCAGACTCAACACTGGGGACATAGAGCCTCTGACTCTTACGGACACACATTCTGATGCCGGAGAGCCACTTGGTCAAACAGGAAGCTTCTGTACAACACACAGTGAAAGGCCACTCTGATGGAGGTCTTAGAAATTGGTTGCCCACCTCCACAGACGAGCCAGCTGAACCAATTCCCACAACAATCCTGAGAAGGTTCCAACTTTCCAATTGGCAACCATTCATTGGGGAACTGACCCAATAAGTACCACCTTATAATCCTCCACACCCCCACACCCCCAACTGTGGCTTCAGAATCTCTTTCCACAGAAATGCAGCTCAGTAACTGTGTGGCATCCTCTGGCTTTCACAGAAATGATGCACAGGGTAAGCGCAGAAAGCATGTTCCCGATGAGTGGGGAGTCCCAAACTAGGTCAGAGTTTAAGGGAACAGGGTAACCCATTTTGTACTGTGATGAGGAGAAATATTTTCACCCAGAGAGTAGAGACCCTGTGGAATTCTCTGCTGCAGAAAGCAATTGTGGCCAACACAATGAATGGTGATACAGGCTTAAAGGGCCAGATGGCCTACTCCTCCTATTTCCTATGTTTCTATGCCTAAAAAGGCAATGAGACATCTGCACTGTATCTGGCAAAGATAATCTGGGTTAATGGTTGTCCGCTTATAGGTGTCAATTAGGATCACGGCGGGAAACTTGGCCATGGACCATCCCATCCTGCACCTAGTTCTGCTAAAGATGGCAGTATGATGGGCCCAAGTGTGCCTCCTTGTCACCTCATTAAATGTCCTGTCCACCACCTCTGGATCTGGAAGATTCCATTCACTTTCCTTCTTTCACCCTAGATGCTGCAAGACTTGCTATTTTCTGTTTGCATTTGTAGTATTTTGTTCCTGTATTATTTCTGTTATTTTACACTATCACAGTTATAATGTACATCCAAATGAACAGGTGCCTTTGTATTTTGGATTAATATCTTCAATTTGTTTAATCCTCTGCAATCTCCAGATACTTTATTTTAATCCTGCATGTTAGTTTCTTTTTGTCATCTTGTTCACGTAAATGGGAACCTTTCAAATGGATAAAATCTGTTTTCATTTAAAGCAATTGATCTTCTATCTTTAATAATTATGCAATTCTGACTTATCTCTATAAAGCAGAACAGTTAGCTGATATCCAAGCAGAATGAATAGATACATGTTACAAATTTTAGATGAGAATTTGAACTCAAATCCCCATATGTTTGTTATTTTTAGACTTTGACTGTAAGGCAATAGGAGACAATCCAGTGAGATAAAATCAAGAAACTTTACTTAAGCTATAAATTAATACTTATCAAAATAGGCAGCAATTTTATGTTATAATATGTCTCTTGCTTTTTCATTCAGCTTAGGGCATAGTGTCAACATTCAGCCTCTGATCTCTCACTAAACAGGGAATTCCTTGGAGTTCGATCTCCTTCCGTGGCTACAGACCAGGCAATACTCAAAACTAACTTCACCCAGTTTATTCAAGCATATGCCTGGCAGTATGCAATTCAGTTAATCTGTTGTGCACTCTTTGAACAATAGAAGACAAGATTTTTGCGAATAATGACTTATCAGTGGATACATACATAATCCAATTGAGAATAAGCAATTAAATTCATATATCCTATCAAACCAGTGTCACACAAGTGTTCATGATTTCTTCGTGCACCAGTGATCAATGCCCACTCAAATTATTTCACACTCACCTTCTTATTTCTCCACCATTCAGACTAACTGCATGTACTCTGTGCTTGTGGTCACACAACGCTATCACACACCTGGTTTATTTTCTTTAGTGCACAGATAATTTAAAATTACCTCAGCCATTGTGGTTAGCAGCTAGGAGACAGTGAGGACTGCAAGTGCTGGAAGCCAGAGTCTAGAAGTGTGAGGCTGGAAAAGCACAGCAGGTCAGACAGCATCCGAGGAGCAGGTAAGTCAATGTTTTGGGCCGAAACCCTTCAACAGGACTGGTTAGCAGCTATCAGTGGTTACATCAATTACCTATTACAGCCCTCCCTAACTCACCAACATCTCTGGGAGGGTCTTTGTGTCCAATTGTACCCACAACTCCAGTTTTAAATTTGTACCCACCTTGGTCACTTCCAGCTGCTGCTTATTGACTCTTTTTAAGACACAACACACAGCATGATCAATTAGGTCATTACATTCTAAACTGAGGCAAGGCTTATTTCTACTTGGTTTAAAGAGTATGTGATCAATGTCTAAACGGCTCTTCAGGATGATAGATGGTGACTGATGTCACCTCCAGCTATCTTCTGACTGGTTTGTTAAGATGTCAATTATCTATGTGTCCATCCAGTTCATTATGGTCTGTTACTGTTACAATTATGACTCCCTGCTAACAGAAGAGGATTATTTTATAGTATCGTTTTGCCCATTTCTTTCGGATAGGGAAATGTATGCTGTCAGGCCCCCAGGATTGATATTCTGAGCTCATTGTCTCAATTTTTACTTATTAGTGCAAGTCCCTCATTAAATCAAACACATGACCATTTGTCCTTTTTTAGGGGCTGTTTGTCAGGTGATGTTTTTGCCTCTGGTGGTGGTTGCCCAGAACTAGTTTCTTTTTTTTAAAATGAACGATAGTGAAAAAGTTGACTACTACTTCAATACTATGTGAATCTAATGCCGAAGATCACAAACTATTAATATAACTTAGAAAAGTGGATAATGTTTAAGTTATACAGTGTGTAAAAAGTAATGAGTGACTGATACTTGCGTATTCAATCATAGTCTTAAACTATAAAATTCTAAACAATTGGCAGTTACAAATGTAACACGTTGTTACAAAGTTAACTGTAATGCGAAGATTACATTTAGCCAAACATAATTGCTTCCCTTCTAAGACTCTACAAATTAATATAATGCCAGTGTACAGCACTAATATTATTGTGGACATCTTTAATGAATCTGTTCTGACGTGTTATGGCTCAGCTCTAGATCAGAAGGGACTTGAACATGGTCCTTCTGGCTTAAACCTAGGGACATTGCTTCTGCAAGCCAACAGACCTCTTGCTCTGCCTTCCCACAGTAACTCCCTTCGAGCCTTCCTCAGTTAATAACACTGATTTCTTTTCCCAGAAAAGGATTTAATAAGCTCGTAGAATGTTAACTCACCTAACTTAAACATGAGTATTGAGCAATTTCACAAATCTGGCTCTGTAAAGTGGAAATGAGTTTAACATGCACCTTTGGCATTTCTCCTATAACTTTAAATCACTGGGATGCTGCCATAGAAACCCTACAGGGTGGAAGCAGGCCATTTAGCCTATTGAGTGCACACCCTGCCCTGAGAAGAGCATCCCACCCACACCCACCGCATCCCAGTAACTCTACACTTTCCATGACTAATCCACCTAGCTTGCACATCTTTGAACTGTGGGAGGAAACTGGAGTACCTGAAGGCAACCCATATGCAGACACAGGGAGAATTTGCAAACTCCACACAGACTGTCGCCCAAGGGTGGAATCAAACCTGGGTCCCTGGTGCTGTGAGGCAGCAGTGCTAACTGAACCATCGTTTCCTTCATTCAATTCA